ATGCAGCGGGAACATCTAAGGAAAACTGGGCTCTGCTGCAGCTCTACTCCCTACAAGTTGCAATGATCCTCAGGCAAGACACAAAGACGTGGTATAAACTGAAAATTTGTTACCATATACTTTTTTAAGACAGAGTCTCGCTCTTTCACCCAGGTTGGAGTGCAGTGGCACTATCTCAGCTCACTGCAACTGCTGCCTCCCAGGTTCAAGCAATTCTCCCACCTCAGCCTCCCCAGTAGCTGAGATTACAGGCGCGCACTACCATGCCCAGCTAATTTTTGAATTATTTATTAATTTTTTTCTTTCTTTTTTTTTTTTTTTTTTTGAGACAGAGTCTTGCTCTCTTGCCTAGGCTGGAAGGGAGTGGCACAATCTCGGCTCACTGCAACCTCTGCCTCCCGAGTTCAAGTGATTCTCCTGCCTCAGCTTCCCAAGTAGCTGGGATTACAGGTGCTCACCACCATGCCTGGCTAATTTTTGTATTTTTAGTAGAGACGGGGATTTCCCCATGTTGACCAGCCTGGTCTTGAACTCCTGACCTCAGTGATCCACCCATCCCATCTCGGCCTCCCAAAGGGCTGGGATTATGAGCTACCACACCTGGCCTAATTTTTGTATTTTTAGTAGAGACTGGCTTTCACTATGTTGGCCAGGCTGGCCTTGAACTCCTGACCTCAAGAGATCCACCTGCTTTGTCCTCCCAAAGTGCTGGGATTACATGCCCGAGCCACCGCATCCAGCTTGTTACCATATACTTTTATAGTACAATACTTCACGTTGATTAAAGGACTCTCATACTAACTGTGTCATTTAACATACACAGCAGCCAAGCAAAGGAGACAGGACAAACAGGAGGGTCCCGTTTCCAAGGCTGAGTGCAGTAATGGAAAAAATAAGAGTTTTTATGAATAAGACAATCTGAGTTCAAATCCCAGGCATCTTCTTCAACTTTTCAGAGCCTCAGTTCCATCCTAAGTAAAGTGTAGACACAGTGCGTACACAGTCTTTTAGAATGAGTCAAGGATCGAGTACTGCATGTATACAGTACTCAATGTTTCCTTCCATCATTCCACAGGAGGAAGGGCTACAAGTTCACACACCTACTCTGACTTTAAAGCTCCAAGTAGATTATCTTTCAACTCCCATGCTCAACCTCTCCGTCCGTGCTCAGATTCAAGAATGTAACTCAGCATCTCTTTAAAAGGTATTTAAAAGATTAGTCACTGAGATACTCTACGAAGTTTTTTTGTTCAGGTAGATTTGTGAAATGTCACTCTCTTGAAATCTCACAAAGTGTGTATGTGTGTATATATGTATGATACTGAAGGTTCTGAGCAGTCATGCAATAAAGAAATCTATTTGCATTCATTCTGACTAGCATTTCCCAAAAGTGCATTTAATGGAATCCTTTATTACATAATTACCATAATTACCAAACATCCACATAGACCTTTCTTTTAAACATACTTTTAGGAACAATGGTTTTGATAAATGCATGTCTAACAAATCATAATAATAGATTAGATTATAATAGATCAACAATATTAATAACTAACAATAGATAGTATTATAGGACAGGGCATAAGAAATTATCCTTTAAATGAGATCCCTGAATCATTCTTTTGCAGCCTGCATTGAATTTGCACATTGCCTAGCGTCAAACTCAGAAAAATTTATTCAGGCAACTAAGACATTTTTATTTTTGGATTTCAGAATAAGTCTGCCACAGACACAAAGATTCCAAGAAGTGGCTCATAATGTCATCTAGCAGAAGACACACTTGGGGGAAAAGGTGGGGGAGAGGTATTATGTTTTGATGCAAAATTGATTTTGTATGAGGTTTCTTATTCCCTAAATCTACCTTCAGATAATGGTAGTATCTAATGATCTAATGCCACATCACTACCTCTCCTGTTCTTATCTTTGGTCTCCTGATGACAGTAGAAAGCAAGAGAGAGTCAGAATGGAACGAGTGAGCTGTTAACTATAAATAACAAAAATGAGGACTCCTTTTTTCTCTGAAAACCAAGAAAGCAGTTACTCTGTCACAATCCAAAAAAAGGAAATTAATCAATCATCAGTATTTGTCCTGGAATTTTCCGCAAAGGTCTCTGGTGTGATTAAAAATGTGGAGAAGGTCAGGCGCGGTGGCTCCCGCCTGTAATCCCAGCACTCTTGGGAGGCCAATGAGGCCGGATCACCTTAAGTCAGACCAGCCTGGCCAACATAGCAAAACTGTGTCTCTACTAAAAATACAAAAATTAGCCGGGCGTGGTGGTGCACATCTGTAATCTCAGCTACTCAGAAGGCTGAGGCACCAGAATCGCTTGAGGCAGGAGGCGGAGGTACAACACTGTACTCGCTTGAACCCGGGAGGCGGAGGTGCACCATTGTACTCCAGCCTGGGAGACAGAACAAGACTCTGTCTCAAACAAAACAAAACAAAAAAACAAAACAAAATGTGGGGAAGAGGCCGGGCGCCATGGTTCATGCCTGTAATCCCAGCACTTTGGGAGACTCAGGTGGGTGGATCACTTGAGGTCAGGAGTTCGAGACCAGCCTGGTGAAACCATCTTTCTACTAAAAATACAAAAATTAGCTGGATGTGGTGGCACATGTCTGTAATCCCAGCTACTGGAGAGGCTGGGACAGAAGAATCGCTTGAAGCTGGGAGGCAGAGGTTGCAGGGAGCTGAGCTCATGCCACTGCACTCCAGTCTGGGTGACAGAGCGAGACTCCGCCTCAAAACAAAAATGAAAACCGTGGAGAAAATGCTAAACTCGATTTCTTCTGAACCTATGCTAAGATGTCAAGGTACTGTGATTCTTCTAAAAGAATTTTAAGTAGTTGTTATGTTTGGTGTCCTAAAAGCATACATGGATTTTATATTATAACCTACATCAAGAAACTCATTCAGGCCAGGCGCCTTAGCTCATGCCTGTAATCCTGGCACTTTGGGAGGCCAAGAATTCCAGACTAGCCTGGGCAACATGGCAAAACCCCGTCTCTACAAAAAATACAAAATTAGCCAGGCATGGTGGCTCTCCCTTCCGTCCCAACTACTCCAGCGGCTGGGGCAGGAGGATGCCCTAAGCCCAGCGAGGTCGAGGCTGCAGTTAGCTGTGACTGCACCACTGCACTCCACTCCACTCCAGCCTGGGCAACAGAGTGAGACTGTCTCAAAGAAAAAAAAAAAAAGCCTCATTCACAGGTAAATTTTTAAAATGTAAACTAAAATAGAATTTAAAACCCAAGCTGCTCGGTTTCTTGGAAAATGGATTTTTCCTACTTTGTAATATACTTTGTATATCTCGACTATGATTGTGTATGCAAGCACCTCTAAGAAGAAGTACTTGTATCTACAATGAATTCTTTTTTTTTCTTTTTTTCTTTTTTTTTGACATGTAGTCTTGCTCTGTTGCCCAGACTGGAGTGCAGTGGCTCTAACTCAGCTCACTGCAAGCTCCGCCTCCCGGGTTCACCCATTCTCCTGCCTCAGCCTCCCGAGTAGCTGGGACTACAGGCGTCCACCACCACGCCCGGCTAATTTTTTGTATTTTTAGTAGAGACTGAGTTTCACCGTGTTAGCCAGGATGGTCTCGATCTCCTGACCTCGTGATCCGCTCGCCTCAGTCTTCCAAAGTGCTGGGATTACAGGTGTGAGCCACCGCACCCGGCCTGCAATGAATTCTTAAACCTCAGGGAGCCAAATAAAAAGACAAGGCCTGAGGAATTCTTTCAAAAATTAAAGTAACATTTCATATTTACTTATTCTAACAGACAAAGAATAAAGAAGGAATCCGCTAAGTTGTAAGCTGAGGTGCAGACAAGTGCTGGTTCACAATGACATCCTAGAAGGAACGCTCTGGATAAGAGCTTCAAGCTTCTACGGTTTTCTGAGGAAAGTGAACGGAATCTAAACGTGTCCTATCGCTCAAAAAAAATCAGCGCTGTGGACCACAGAGCCTAACAGAGTAAAGTAATACAGCGTGCAGTTTGGCCACTAACAGCAAGAGTGGGAAGGGGCAAAGAGGAACCTTGATTGCCCGACACCAGGGCCACCTGAAGACTCCTCTTGACACTTCAGTCTTTCCATTTTGAGATTAGAAGCTTCAAGGACCATTAAATCGCTGCCGCTGCCACACCAGGCCCGACGGAGCAGAAAGGCTGCGCTCACCGGCGGAAGCGACCGGGTGCACACCTGCCGGGTAGGGAGGCCCGCACGGTCACACCCCGCCCCGGCTTACCTGCCCTTCGGCGATTTTTAGCTTCAACTTCCATCCCTTCCCACCCATCTGGATCCAACCAAGCCCAAGGGCGGGGGAGGGAGAAGCTAGTGCCGCGAGGAAAAGCATCCCCGCCACCCGCCGCAGGCTTTCTCTCCTCCCTCCCCATTCCACAGAAGAGGCAAAGCCACACCGCCTCTCCTAACCCTCGTCTCTAATGCAAGGCCTGCAATACTTAGAAAAAAATAATAACTGTTTTTAAGGAGAAGTAACATCCCCGCTCCCTTCCGCCCCTCACCTTCACGAAAGCAATCGGGGTTGTGGTACCTTCGATATCTAACAGGATCACGGTGACTTCGGCGGGGACCGAAAGCACGACCATTTCCCTACCGGATGCTACGGGACTCGGCCTGCAGTCGGGGAGGGAGGAGGGCGGCGCCGGCTGCGGCTGCTGCCCCCGGTACCGTCCTGGGCTTCCGACGGCCCCGCGCGATCTTGGAGTCAGCGACCAAGTGCAGCCCGCCGCGCGTAGGAAAGAGAACACCTCTGCACACCTGGCACTGGAAAAGGCGGCCGCCCAGGAGCCCCTGAACTCGTGAGCAGGACGGGGCAGGAGCCCGAGACCACGTGGGCAGGAAAAGGGGCGGGCCGTGCTGGGTTCGGCGGGGCGGGGTGCGAAAGCCCAGCGCCAATTGGTCGCCGTCGGGCCTCGAACGCGATCCGTCAAAATGGGCCTCGCGTGGGCGGGAACAAAGAAGCGAACGCGGGAGCAGGATGCGCGAGAGCGCGCCCTCCGCAGACAGGTTGAGCGAGCGGGAGAGGCCCGGGGCACGTGCAGAAGGGAGCCCCGCGAGTGGCGCGCCGGGGATGTGAGTGCCCCTTGCCCTCTACTGCATCCAGCCCCCTCCCCGCCCACCGCCTCCGTCCTTGCATAGATACAGTCATCTGGCCAGCCTCCGCCCCTCCTCCCGGCCTCAGCCTGCCAGAGAGGCCGCGCGGGGCTCGGGCTTCGGCCGATCAGCCAGGAGGCCCCGCTGCGCCCCCTCGGCCCGCGCGCCCGTGGCCACAGCGGAAGAGACGCCCGCGCTGCGCTGTCCGGAGGGGCCGTCGCGCGCCCGCTTCCTGTTCGGCTGGTTCCTGCCAGCTCGAGGACAAAACACGCGTGCGCGCGGCGGGCGAGCGCGCTCGCCGCCTCAGTCGCCAGCGCCGGGCGCAGTCCGCCTTTTTCCGGAGTAGCCCGGCCGCGGTGCTAGTCGGTAGCAGCGGCCGCCGCAGCGGCTCCGCACTGGCGAACCGAGGGCAGAAAAAGGCGGGGTTCACGGCTCTTTGGTAGGAGTGGGCTGGACCGGACGCCAGAGACAAAGGCTCCCAAGGCAAGAGGGACTGTGGCCTTGCGTCGGCTCTGTTCGGGACTGCTGACCCCAGGACTTTACGCCCCTTCGTTTTTCTCTTCTGATTCTTCTCTTCTCCCAAGCCCGCGTCCCCTCACGCGTGGCCTCTCTCCTTGCCGGGAGGGCCGCGATGGAGGTCCCGCCCCGGCTTTCCCATGTGCCGCCGCCATTGTTCCCCTCCGCTCCCGCTACTTTAGCCTCCCGCAGCCTCTCCCATTGGCGGCCGCGGGCGCCGCGGCAGCTAGCCCCGCTCCTCCCTTCACTCGCTCCCAGCTCCGCCCGGCAGGGGGCGCGCCGGGCCCAGCGCCACGTCACCGCCCAGCAGCCCTCCCGATTGGCGGGCGGGGCGACTATAAAGGGAGGGCGCAGGCGGCGCCCGGATCTCTTCCGCCGCCATTTTAAATCCAGCTCCATACAACGCTCCGCCGCCGCTGCTGCCGCGACCCGGACTGCGCGCCAGCACCCCCCTGCCAACAGCTCCGCCACTATGGAGGATATGAACGAGTACAGCAACATAGAAGAATTCGCAGAGGGATCCAAGATAAACGCGAGCAAGAATCAGCAGGATGACGGGTACCGCACGCTTCTTCCCCCGCTCCCCCTCCCCCAGCGCGCCGCACGCGCCCTTCGTCCCTCGTGAGCCGCGCGCTGCCCCCATTCTTTCTCAGAGTCGATTCCCCGCGTGCCCTCTGGGCCCCACTAGCTTGGAGGGAAGAGGAAAGTAAGAGATCGAGGGGGTGACTGGAGAGACCCGGGAAGAGTGGGGGAAGGGCGGAGGGGTTGGAGGAGGAGGGCGGCGGCGTCTCTGTCCCGAGCGCGCAGGCGCCGCGTGGGACCCGGGGGGGAGGGGCCGGCCTCCCAGCGCCGCTCGCTGCAGCTGCCGACGCCTCTTCATTGTGTCTCTGTTACCACTCGGCGCGGTTTTCCTGGGAAGAGTTTTAGAGGACTCTGAGTTCGGGCACAAGCAGGCGACTGGTACCCAGATTCACAAAACGTATTATGATTGATGAGTTCTCTGGGTGGAACGTTGGCTTGACAGCTGAGGACGAGGATGGACCTAAGATAAGATGTGAGGGATTCATGTAGGAAGTTGGGCCTTGTAGCTGAAGCAATCTGGGCAGAACCTTTACTATATTTTATTGGTTTCCTTTGAGTTTTGCTTTATGTAGTGCGGAGAGCGAGCTGTCCGCTGGTTTGAGTAACTTTGTTGGGATATTGGGATTTTTGTGTGAAATAGATTAAATGTAAACATGGATTAAATTGCTTACACTTAGGGGATAAATGTTCCTGTTTTTATTCTACGATTTAATTCCAGAACTGAAGGATCATTTGAGTTACTGTTAATGTTTTTAAAAACCTTTTATTTCTAGTAAAATGTTTATTGGAGGCTTGAGCTGGGATACAAGCAAAAAAGATCTGACAGAGTATTTGTCTCGATTTGGGGAAGTTGTAGACTGCACAATTAAAACAGATCCAGTCACTGGGAGATCAAGAGGATTTGGATTTGTGCTTTTCAAAGATGCTGCTAGTGTTGATAAGGTAGGAACTGTGTTTTGCATTGTGCTGCTTTTGTAGTGTTTTGCACATTTTTCTGGGGGTTATATGCTGCTGTCAGATTAAATAAATCTGTCTTGTAGGTTTTGGAACTGAAAGAACACAAACTGGATGGCAAATTGATAGATCCCAAAAGGGCCAAAGCTTTAAAAGGGAAAGAACCCCCCAAAAAGGTTTTTGTGGGTGGATTGAGCCCGGATACTTCTGAAGAACAAATTAAAGAATATTTTGGAGCCTTTGGAGAGGTGTGTGATTATGTTTACACATGTTAAGCTTGATGTGTTTATAAAATGTTTAATCCTGGTCCGATTTATACAGGGCAGATTCATGTTTCGTGTGAGGGTAGGATTAAATGACTGCTCAAGTCGCTTCCAGGGACTGTACCTTGATTTGATTGCTGCTCTGATGGAAACCCAACTATCTTAATTTAGCCAAAACATGGGCACTTAAATGTGGTCGGTGTTTGGACTTGTTAGTTAGTGGCATCTTTGGGGTACAAAATAATATTAAAGGATGTTTTACTTTTCTCTCAATGCTTCAAATATACAACAAATCACTGAAGGCTGGTGTTGATCATAAAGCAGTGATGTCTGTATAGAAGTCACCTGATAAGAATAACATGTTTAAGTTGAAGTCTGAAAAGTACCTGTGGCATTCTGACACTCTGGTAGCATTTTACAATTATGGGATGACCTTGAGTGTGCATCTCGATTTCAGATTGAAAATATTGAACTTCCCATGGATACAAAAACAAATGAGAGAAGAGGATTTTGTTTTATCACATACACCGATGAAGAGCCAGTAAAAAAATTGTTAGAAAGCAGATACCATCAAATTGGTTCTGGGAAGGTAAAGCCATTTAAGTACTTTAAATGAAAATTTTAAGGATTTCTTTTTTCTTTTTTTATCTTTTAGTTTTTGAAATTTCTCAATGTGTTTGAGAAAAAATAAAATGATTAAATTTTAGAACTTGAGTAAAAATTGTATTTTCGTGTTTTTTAATTTGTTCATAGTGTGAAATCAAAGTTGCACAACCCAAAGAGGTATATAGGCAGCAACAGCAACAACAAAAAGGTGGAAGAGGTGCTGCGGCTGGTGGCCGAGGTGGTACGAGGGGTCGTGGCCGAGGTGAGACTTAATTCTTGGAATATGACTCCATGGTTTAAGCTGTATACTGCTAAATATGAGTAGTCCTGTACGAAACTAAAACTTAAAACAATTCCAGCGGGAGGAAAATGTTCAGCTTAGTGGGGGTTGTGTGTGGTGGTTTTTGTTGTGAGCTCACTGGTTTCAAAAAACTGTTAAAAGTATGGCCACTTTGACAATTAGTGTCATCACTGACAGGAAAAGTGTACCATTACATGATGCGCCATGGCGTGATAGGTTTTCTTGGGCAGGAGTCCTTGTTTTAAACAGAACAGTATACCTGTCTTCAGCTTTAATGGAAAATTGAATGATTTTCCATTAAATTTAGGAAGTTTGATACTGGCACAATTGGACTTTCTGCCCCCCTTTTTTAATAACAGCTGGAAGAATAGTTTTTCAAGCAGATAGTGCTATATATGTCCATTCTGCCCTTTAAGATTTGCAGAGTGAGAGACAAGAACGCATCATTTTATGTTAGAATTGGGGGTCAGAAGTTGTTTCCTAACAATCATTGTGCATTGTTTCAGGTCAGGGCCAAAACTGGAACCAAGGATTTAATAACTATTATGATCAAGGATATGGAAATTACAATAGTGCCTATGGTGGTGATCAAAACTATAGTGGCTATGGCGGATATGATTATACTGGGTATAACTATGGGAACTATGGATATGGACAGGGATATGCAGACTACAGTGGTAAGAATATTTAACTTAATTTTATAAACCAGTGGTATTAAAATTCATTGTTAACATACAATCCTGTTCTGAAATTGTGTGTACGGGCTTTCTGTTTGGAGTTAAGTGTTTGAGGCATGTTACAATCATAGGGTGATTATACTAACATAGTCTGTTGGTTATAAATGAACTAGGATGTATGATTTACGACTAGCTTATAATGGGTGTTAAAATATCTTAATATTTTAATACTTTTTATTTAGCATGCAAAGATTTGTAGATTTAATCATTTCTCAGTGTGTTTGTAAAGAAACAGTTTTGTAGAAAACTATCTTAATGAAATTTCTGTGTTTTCAAAATAGGTCAACAGAGCACTTATGGCAAGGCATCTCGAGGGGGTGGCAATCACCAAAACAATTACCAGCCATACTAAAGGAGAACATTGGAGAAAACAGGTGTGTATAAGAGTACAGGAAAACAGTAGAAATGTCTAATTTAATTTAAAGATCAATAGACAAACGTAAAAACAAAATACTATGTAGCTTGTTCTTACTAAATTGTTGATTTTTTTTAATTGCTTTATGAGCCTGTTTTGCCTAAAGTGTCTATAGATCTTTAACTTTAAAGTCTTATCTCACTTTCTTTAGTATTGCAGAAAAACTTAAGAGTTTTTCTGTTTGCTTTTGTGTACCAGGTGGTCTAGAGGAATAATTAAACATTTTAGAACTATTAACAGGTAAAGTACTGAAATGGGTACAACTTAAGGAAAACAAGAATGTTGTCTTCTAACTCTGACATTATACCTTGTTTGTACCCGCCAGCGGGAACTTCATTGCAGGCCGTGTGTCACCCTGACCACGTCTATCTCTGGGGGTCGCACGTTGCGGGCAGAGCGCAAGGCATACACCAGAAAACGCTGTCCTGTGGTATGGTCTCTTCCAACTTCATGTACCAGCGTAAAGATTAAAGTGGAAAACTTCAGACTTTGGCTTCTTTTTTAATCTTTTTGGAGATTAAGTGTCTAAACTTAACTTAAATGGTTTTTTACAGGAGTTAAAATACATAAATGCCTTTTTACAGCTTAATCATTTTGGTCTTCTGTTTAGTGTTGTATTTCAATTGTGGAGCCTCATTTTAAGTGTTCATTCTTTTAAGATTTAATGCTTGCTTTTTCTTTTTATAGCTAATAGTGAAATCTACAAACCAAAACAAGAACTTTTAAATCTGGGATATAAATTAAAGATCATATGCACAATTCAATTTATGTTCTTGTAATAAGCTTATTAGAAATTGGTGTTTGTGATAGCATTTTACTTGGGTTACTAGAGATGCTTCTAGTAGACCTTAATCTAGCATAGTTGAACCTGTGAATATGGGAAGATTGTATTCCCAGATTCTTTCCTGAATAGATTTGAATTTATTATTATTTGGGAACTCCAGGGTGAGTTTATTGACTACCCAAACTGTATTTTGCCAATAAATATGCATATGATCTTTAATTATTGAAGAAAAGAATAAAGTGAGGACTTAAAACAGTTCATGAAAGTGGACCTTTAAAAGCTTGTCAGAGTTGCACAAATCTAATTGGTATTTTGTTTTTGTTTTTAGGAGGAGATGTTAAAGTAACCCATCTTGCAGGACGACATTGAAGATTGGTCTTCTGTTGATCTAAGATGATTATTTTGTAAAAGACTTTCTAGTGTACAAGACACGATTGTGTCCAACTGTATATAGCTGCCAATTAGTTTTCTTTGTTTTTACTTTGTCCTTTGCTATCTGTGTTATGACTCAATGTGGATTTGTTTATACACATTTTATTTGTATCATTTCATGTTAAACTTCAAATAAATGCTTCCTTATGTGATTGCTTTTTTGCGTCAGGTACTACATAGCTCTGTAAAAATGTAATTTAAAATAAGCAATAATTAAGGCACAGTTGATTTTGTAGAGAGTATTGGTTCATACGGAGAAACTGTGGTCCTTTATAAATAGCCAGCCAGCATCACCCTCTTCCCCAATTTGTAGGTGTATTCTATGCTCTTAAGGCTTCATCTTCTCCCTGTTAAGTGAGGTTTCTACCACACCTTTGAACAATGTTCTTTCCCCTCTGGTTATCTGAAGACTGTCCTGAGAGGAAGACGTAAGTGTTGTGATTAGTAGAAGCTTTCTAGTAGACCATGTTTCTTCTGGATTGTAATAAAATTGTTAGCTCCTTTTACTTTGTGCCTGTCTCTGGAAAGCCATTTTTGAATCGCTAATTACTTTGGCTTTAATCAGTGGTCACCTGGTAAAAGCTTTGTAATCATAACACAATCACTTAATTCTTGATAAAAATTCAGATGCACACAGGAGCACTGTAAAACTGGTAGGATCTATGGTTTAAGAGCATTTAAAGTAGTTATAACTCAAGGATTTTGGTAGAAAGGTATGAGTGTGGTCAAAAGTTAGATTAAAATTTGAAATAGTGGCAAAAGATTTAGTTGTGTTTTCTCGCAGTCACTACAAGATTGAACAAAATGTTTTCTGTTTGGGCATTCTGAGGAAATTGTATTACAGTTAGCTATTAATGCTGTGTGAGTTTAGAAAAAGTCTTGATAGTAAATCTAGTTTTTAACATGCATGAACTGAGTAGTTAAACATTTCCATATTCAGACATAGGAATAGTGGAAAAGGTATCTTAGGTGTGTCAATCCAAATGTGACTTGAGTCATTACAGTGGACCCTCTGGGTGCACTGAAAAGCCGTTTTATAACCAGGTTTGAGAAGACCTGGAATAAATAAAAGCTTTGAATTTTGCATTCAGTGTAGTTGGATTTTGGGACCTTTGCCTCAGTGTTAGCTACTGGGATTGGCAGATGTGTTCACAGGCAGAGTAGTTGATCTCACACGGGTGATCTCACAAAACGTGTTTCTTATGCTGATGAGCCCCTTTTTTTTTTTTTAATTTGGTGCTTACAACTTGGTTACAATGATTATACTTCTTGGGCTATCACGTTATAATGCTCTTGGCCTTTTTTTGCTGCTGTTTTGCTATTTGTTCTCACACACACCTAGGCCAAGTACCAGTGTTGGTTGTTAGAAGGGATTCTGTTCATTCAACATGCAACTTTAGGGAATGGAAGGAAGTTCATTTTTAAGTTGTGTTGTCAGGTGCAGTGTCTAGGGTAGTGAATCCTGTAAGTTCAAATTTATGATTAGGTGACAAGTTGACATTGAGATTGTCCTTTTCCCTGATCAAAAAATGAATAAAGGCTTTTTAAACAAAATCCAAACTTTTAATCAAGTCTTGATATGTATGACTGAGAAAAAATATATTACATCTAGAGATGATTGAGATGTTTTACAAACAATTGAAGGGGGAGTAAGAATTCACTTGATTTTTCTTGCAGGGGCTTTGAACTCTAGATTTAATTAAGATTTCAGGGCCCATCAGTTCACCAACTGATGCAAATTTGAATAGATACTCTTAGGCTAAGTGTCTTAGGTTGGATGAACTGTGAAGCTAGTATCAAGATCTCATTCCCGAACATTAATTTAGAACAAAGTAATTGGACAAGTTTATTGGGGAGGGGATAGAAATGAATTCTTCTGAAGTACCTATAACAAACAAATACTCGGTTTGTATATGTTTTCATACATTGTACTTGCCTTTTGCATTGTTTAGACCAAATTCAGTGTGATGTTATCCTAACAAAAGACGTTAGTAATTTCATTGGTTAACATGTTAATGTGTAATCTCGCTCATTTTTATATTATGAGGACTATTAAAATGAGATGTCTGTTGGGATGCTAGCATGGATAAGCATAGCTTATTCCATTACTCTTCAGTGCATCTTTATTTTCATAATGGCAGAGAGCCTCACTAATCTTCACAAAATTTAATATAAGGGCATATCTGAACAATTAAGCCACTTTCCATTACCAAGATTTGATTTAATGTCAATCAGGATGCTAGGCTGCGTGCTGTAGATCATGCCTGTAATCCCAAGCACTTTGGGAGACCAAGGCAAGTGCATTGAGTCCAGCCTAGGCAACATGGCAAAACCCTAGTCTCTACTAAAATTAGTCCAATGTGGTGGTGCACACCTGTAGTCCCAGCTACTTGTGCTGAGGCAGGATGATTGCTTGAGCCAGGGAGATGAAGGGTGCAGTGAGTCATGTTTGTGCCACTGCACTCCACCCTGGGCGACAAAGTGAGACCCTGTCTCAAAAAATAGCAGGATGCTAAACTTCACCAATTAAAGAGCTGACTAAGCTGGCTGGGCGCAGTGGGCTCATGCCTGTAATCCTAGCACTTTGGAAGGCCAAGGTAGGTGGATGGCTTGATTCCAGGAGTTCAAGACCAGCCTGGCCAGTATGTCAAAACCCCAACTCTACTAAAAACACAAAAATTAGCTAGCTAGGCATGGTGCTGTACTCGGGAGGATCGCTGGAGTCCAGGAGGTGGAGGTTGCAGTGAGATCTGTGCTCCAGCCTGGGCAACAAAGTGAGAACCTCTCAAAAATAAAGTAGACTAAGACCAGGTATGTTGAGCTGCAGTTGAGCTGTGGTCGCTCCATTGCACTCTACCTAGCCTAGGCAACAGAATGAGACCCAGTCTCAATTTTTTTAAAAGGTGATTCAAAAACATGTAAGTGTATGAATAATTTTAGTTATAGATGTGTGTGTATACCATTTCAATTGATTCTAGTGTTGAGTAGTTACAAAGGGTCATTCATAGAAAACCCCCTTTCCTTAAACTTTCAGCCAAGATTAGTTGGCATCTAATCTGTGGTCTCAACTTTTAAGCAAACACAATGCAAATTCTATGTATTTTTTATAGTCACTAGAAAATACTGGGGTTTTTTTGAAAATATTGTTTATAAAAATATAGGCTGTTCTCTTAGGATTGGTTGGGGTCTTACATTTGTCTTGAAATAGATATGGAATTTCAGCAAGATTTAGTTAATAGCAAAAAATAAAAAATACACCTTTGACTTTACTAGTTTTTATAAACTGTAGGAAAGGATATAGTGATGTTCTGGGTATTACAGAGTAAGGCTGAACATTTTTTTTTTTTTTTTTTTTTTTTCCCGAGACGGAGTCTCGCTCTGTCACCCAGGCTGGAGTGCAGTGGCGCGATCTCGGCTCACTGCAAGCTCCGCCTCCCGGGTTCACGCCATTCTCCTGCCTCAGCCTCCCGAGTAGCTGGGACTACAGGCGCCCACAACCGCGCCCGGCTAATTTTTTGTATTTTTAGTAGAGACGGGGTTTCACCGTGGTCTCGATCTCCTGACCTTGTGATCCGCCCGCCTCAGCCTCCCAAAGTGCTGGGATTACAGGCGTGAGCCACCGCGCCCGGCCAAGGCTGAACATTTTGAAGACCTTAACTTCTGCTGTTCTTCTCTCCCCTACCACCCTCCATCCCCAACCAGAATGAGCTTGGAATTGTGCTGTTTTTTAATTTTTATTTTTTTTCCTTCCCTGAGTTGGAGTTTCACTCTTGTTGCCCAGGCTGGAGTGCAGTGATCTGATCAGGGCTCACTGCAACCCCCCCTTCCCAGGTTCAAGCGATTCTCCTGACTCAGCCTCCCAAGTAGCTGGTATTACAGGCATCTGCCACCATGCCTGGCTAGAATTTTTGTATTTTTAGTAGAGACAGGGCTTCGCCATGTCAGTCAGGCTGGTCTCAAACTCCTGACCTCAGGTGATCCACCCGCTTCCACCTCCCAAAGTCCTGGGATTACAAGCATGAGCCACCGTGCCCTGCCAGAATTGTGCTATTCTTAAGTGTCAGTTTAATCTCTGGTTTTACCCTTTAAAGAGATTTACCACTTCAAAGAGACTTACCACTCAAAAAGATGTACCAATTCGGGGAACTGTATCATAATCTTAGAGGGTAGTGAGACTAAAGTGTAGTTTGAAAAAGTATATTCAGCCGGACGCAGTGGCTCACGCCCGTAATCCCAACATATTGGGAGGCCAAGGCGGGCAGATCACGAGGTCAAGAGTTTGAGACCAGCCTGGTCAGTATGGTGAAACCCCATCTCTAGCAAAAATTAGCAGGGCGTAGTGGTGGGCAACTCTAATCCCAGCTACTCAGGAGGCTGAAGCAGGAGAATCACTTGAACGAGGCAGAGGTTGCAGTGAGCTAAGATAGCACCACTGCACTCCAGCCTGGGAGACAGAGCAAGACTCCGTCTCGAAAAAGTATATTCAACATAATCTTGTCACTTAAAATCCAAATAACCAAAAAGGCTAATTTTGGTTTCTTAAAGACCAGCACAAGCTAGAAAATGTGAGAAACTTTACTTGCAAGTTTTTCTCATACTGTTCCAATGGTAATCTCCTTTTGGGAGTCTGACCAAAAGTGAATTCTCTTCAAACCCAAAAAATACATGTCTATAAATATTTTCAATGTAGTTTCAGGAAAATTAGAGACTTAGAAAACTGTTCTAAAATGCTCTTGAAGCTGTTGGCTTTTATGGTAACAAACTGACTAAAATTGATTGAATTTGTTGTAGTTGATGAGGTTGCACAAAGGGTTTCTTCATATGCTCTCCACCTTCCACCTGGGTATTTGTATTGGCTGGTGAACACAGGGGATTGTTTTATTGATGACAGAGTCTCACTCTTGCCCAGGCTGGAGTGCAGTGATGCCATCACGTCTCACTACAGTCTCAACCTCCTGGGCTCAACCAATCCTCCCACTTCAGCCTTGCATGTAGCTGGGGCCACAGGCACATGCCATCATACCTAGCTAATTTTTTTGATTTTTAGTAGAGATGAGGTCTTCCTATATTGCCCAAGTTAAAGCTTTTTTATTTTTCTTGTCTTAGATATAGAGACTCACTATGTTGCCCAGGCTGGTCTCAAACTCCTTGGCTCCAGTGATCCTCCCACTTAGGCCTCCCAAAGTGGGGAGATTACCAGCATGTGTCACCACGTCCAGCTTTAGCTTTAATCCCCTGATTTTAAAATGGGGAAGTCAGCTAATTGAATGTACCAATGCTGATTACATTCTGCAGTCTATTAAACTATAAAACTCCTATCAGGCATACTTTAAGCATTAAGATTGGTCAGTAATCTTTATTATTTTTTTATTTTTGTTTATTTTTATTTATTTATTTACTTATTTTTTTTAGATGGAGTCTCGCTCTGTCACCCAGGCTGGAATGCAGTGGCGAGATCTCGGCTCACTGCAAGTTCTGCCTCCCGGGCTCACGCCATTCTCCTGCCTCAGCCTCTCGAGTAGCTGGGACTACAGGCGCCCGCCACCACGCCCGGCTAATTTTTTGTATTTTTTAGTAGAGACGGGGTTTCACCGTGTTAGCCAGGACGGTCTCGATCTCCTGACCTCGTGATCCGCCCGCCTCGGCCTCCCAAAGTGCTGGGATTACAGGCGTGAGCCACCGCACCTGGCAGTCAGTAATCTTTAATACACTTGGTTTCTGAGTGTTGAGATCTATCGTAGCAAAGTTGGATTATATTACA